CCGCAGTCAACATTTCAGCAGAATTAGCATACTCCGCTTGCGAGACATTCACCGGTGGATACCGACGATAAAACTCTGAAAATCCTCGAGAAATCCCATCGCGAAATTTGAATTTGCACTCCGTCTAGCTGCGATCGTGACGCATGAATCCCGAAAAGCTCGAAAGGAAGGGCTTCTCTATATTCAAAGGACCATCTCGTTTTACCCCTCCGATTCGAATAACAAAGTGAACTAGTTCGATCGAGATATATCTTAAAGATCGGCACAGCTTCTCAGCGTCAAGCACGATTTTCTTTAAACAGAGAAGTGCAAATTCTTATTAATAATTAGTATTACAATTCATCAAACATAGTCTCATTTTTTTATTAACAACAACTAGAAATATAGTCGCAAGTTTAAGAATGAAATTTTTTATAAGATAATTTTATTTAGAAAAAATAGAGAATACAATAAAAATATAAATTAATAAGATTAATGAAAATTATCACTTTTTCATCAATTAATTCGTAATTGTTAACCTTGTAAAATATTAATGAGTTTTTAAAAGTAAAACTTACATAAAAACAAAATAAAAAAATGTTTTGAACAGCAAAAATCAGATTTTCGCAAGTTGATGCGTGACCGACGCGACGTGACGATGGAACATTCTTAGTCACAACGTGTGAAGAATAGGACTTCCTTTGGAAAAGCGGGAAAAGTGTTTTGACATTCAAAAGCGATTTTCCACGATCGCTTCGGCCCAAACGATTTGAATAACAAAGTCACCAAGAAGACGTACTATCGTCCGTGCTCGCATGAGTGGGCATTCTTCAAGCAAGTTTATCGCAAGAATCGTTTGCATGCCAAACAAAATCGATCCCTGTTCAGTCCTTCAGGATTTCCATCGACCTTCGGCGCATGCTTTGATTCAAGACGCATAAAGGCAATTCTTCGAAACCGTTAAAGCTATATAGAGACGTTTCTCAGTTACTCACAGGATATGAAAAAAATTATTGTAATGTTGGATTATTTACAAAAAACAATTATTTTAATATTTAACGCGTATTAGTGATTATTATTTATGTATATATATTAATTTTCATAAAATTTATGATACAATAAAAAAAAAAACATTATAGCTTAAAAAAATATTTAGAATATATAAAATCAAACCTTTTGACCCTTCTTTTATTATTAAACGACACATTATTAGATGTTCATAAATAATAAACTGAATAAAATAAGTATTGTGACGATTTCCTCTTTTCTTTATTTCACTGATCAAAGCGTCATTAGCGATTTCTTTGACTTGTAGTTAATGGCAACTGACATCATTTCGTTATAAAAATAAAAAAACTCATACTAGCACATTAGAAAGTATGATGAGTAACGTGACCGCTCGAAAGATCTTGGAGAAGTCCGCGTTAAAAGAATCCCTGGTCTGGCCATATCGGTCGAACAGGTGTGCGGGTACGAAGCGGGAATAAACGATTAGAATCTCGATTAGCATCCGCGGATCATATTAATCGCGGCTGCATTACCAAGCGGTTGCATCCGCTCGAGTGTACGATTTCGTAATCGAACACGTATCAGCTTCGAGCACTACGTCTCGAATCGCTTGACAGCTTAATAAAGATAATTGCGTCTCTCGACTACATAGTAAAAGCGTAATACATGAATAATCTAACATCGACAATCGAGCATGCACACAGATAAGCGACAAACAATTTTTTAGATGAATATTGATGTATCTTTCATTTCTGTTAAGGAATAAAGAATTTTTAATAGCGTAAGACTTTTCTGTAATTAAAATATTATCATACAATTTATAATTTATAATTACAGTCAGAATCAAATTATCTCGGGCTAGATTTGAAGAATCTATAAATCGTACTAAAATCGTGTCGTGAATCGGTGTGACTTATTTTACATTTTTCCGCGACATCTCTTCGAAGTTTGACTGACGTACGATTGTTTTCTTTTTCATGAGAACCATTGATTATCGAAGAAGTCGAATGTCGAATACGCGAAATGACACGAATAATATGCTGCGGAGTGCACCGCGACGTTTCGTCGGCAGTTATATCGTTCCTGACATGGTGATTCCGCAGAGAGGCGCAAAAAAGAAGACAAGGAGGAGCCGATGTGGTGGCCGCGGGGCGAACGGTCGCGAAATGCTCGGAAGACGCGGAGGCAGAGGAGAAAAATGGAGCGGGTGGCGGCGGCGGTGGTGATGGTGGCGCTAGGCGATCGGAAGTGTGTCAAATTACAGAGGTCCGCGATATTAATGACTCCTAATGACATGCCCCCCTCCTAACGGCAGCGATCGGTGCCTACCGACCGACACAAGGAGAGCACAGTTTCTCCCCACTAAGGCCGTTCCATCCGAGGGCCCGCTCGCGAACCACCAAGGTTGGGGCCTCCGCGCTGCGTCCGGCCGGTGGACGTCGAGCCGGTGGACCCGATTCACGGAATCGGCATTAAAAATGCAATTACTAATTGACGAAGGCTAATAGCAATAAGACAAACAACGGGCTAAATGCTATAAAGTAAAACACAGGTCGGCGACGGCATCCTTCACCCCCATCCCGTTCGCTCTCACCGACCCGGGTCCTATCGGATCTCTCGTCGTCGTCCCCTCGCTTCTATTTACCGATCGTTTCTTTTTTTTTTTCTTCGTCCGACTTGTCCGCTCCTTGTGATACTTCTACGAGAAGCACCGTTCGCGAAGGGGCGCGAGTCCTCCGTTTACGACCGGTTTGGCATTTCCGAGAGGCCGGTCCTAACCGCGGATTTTTTGTCAGCTAGCTCTACACCTTTGTTAGTTTCTGTCCATTCGCCCGTTTTATTTCACCTCGTGAGAATCGCAGTTTAGTGTTTCGTCGACGAGTACGAGCTTTGACTCGAACCATGTTTATTTCTCTAATATGACAGTCGCGCACTTCGTTTCTCTCGTAGTTAAATAACACATTAGGTACTGATCAGAGACATATCAGCTCTTTTGTTGCTCGAACATTGACTGGTGACAAGTTCATTCATGTTTAAAAAACGTACAGTTTAAATTGTCGTGCAAAGTTATTAGAATTTAAAATTTAAAGTTTTTATTGTAGAGGATTTGTAATTGTATTTATCCTTCACTTTTTATTATGGTTTATTTATGTCTAATCTTTTGTATATTATCTACAAAATTTTGTATTTTAATATCGGATCTGAATATGAGAAATAACTGGCCACAGACGTTAGTTTCCGCATCAAACACCCAGTCAGCAATGTATTAATTAGTCTTAATGTACAATAGCATGTACAATATTGATGTTAAAAACAATACTAGGAATAAAATTTTTATCAACGTTATTTTTAAATATAATAGCAGATTGATATTGTTATAGCAATTAGCAGTAAAGAAGAATTGCATGGCCACCATGTATTGATAATAACAAGGAGACTCGGAGGATTACGTTATTACGCACAGCAAATGAGTTTCTTAGTTTTGCAGATGCAGCCGTTTGGCGGCATTCGTTACGTTCTGTCATCTCCCTCATTATCGCGCTTTCTGCGAACAACGATACACGCTATATGTCAGATCTCGTGACGCGTGGCACCCTTCGAGCATGCCCCGTCGTTCTCGAAACGCACGTTCATGGAACTAACAATTCTCCTTATTAGGTTTATTATACAAAAGTTTGTTTTGCCAAACACGCAAGAATCTAAACGACCGGTCATTTTTGCGAATTAGAACAGTGCATTTGTCGCATTATAATTGCAATCCTTTTATGCTCACATGAAATATGAGCTTTGCAACAAAATATATAATTTAAATTTTTTTTAAATTTGCTATAAATAATAAGTCATGCATAAATTTTCGGTGCTGGAAGATACAAACAATTAAATTACAGAATATATAATACGTCCTATTGGTTCCCTCTAATTTCTATTTACTGACAATAGTCACGCAACTCTAACCGAAACTTTCACACGATATAATAATATAACGTTAGAAACTTGCACGCGCTCGATACCTTTCCTTTTGTTATATTTAGTGGGTGTTGCGTGAGACAAAAGTTACCATTTGCAATTTTAGCATTTCAAATTCGTCTAAATCGTTCCGCTTCGTAAGTACCGTAAAAGAATCCTGAAAAGAACTGAATTTTTCTGAAAATCGTCGATGATTCAGTCGGACAAACGAGGGTTTTTAGACATGTTTTATTGATCGTTTCAGTGATCATGACGAGAAATCTCGTAGTGAATACACACGGAGAATTCCCCTTAAAAGTTACGCACCACGAAAGAATTCCTCGAGGCAATAAGTAATATGATAAACTGTTGCACAACCGGGTATGCGGTGCTTGCCACACGTAATCCAATGAGAGAAGTTCTTTTTCGAAAACAAATTTTCCTCATTGGACCATCGGCTACATTCCGACATCCGACTCCGACCTACAACTTATTGTAGAGCCAATTTAATTGGTTTTATGACATATTTTACGTAGAGAAAAATTAGCCGACGTCTCCGGACCGTCTGAAGGACTGCAGAAGCAGAAACTCGAGATGTGCCAACAATATGCGCCTTATGATAAAATCCGTTTCGCCTTTTTGTTTGAAGATACGACTCTTTTATATTCAATTTTTGTACATATAAATGTTATTAACGTATTACAATCGAATAATATTTTTGTGTAACTTCAAGGGCCTATTTCCACGTATGTATATATCTAAAAGTTTTGGGTTTTATTGTACAAATTAAAATTATATGAACAAATCTGAGAATCAAGATCTCATAAAATTAAAATTCGATTAAGATTGACAGCTCAAATGACATTGTTGCGCATGATAGTATTTCAGATTAATAAAAAACTGGTGGTGCGGGTTCATTATCATAACGCGGCATTTTTTTTCGCTCGCATTATTCCGTCGCTGTATTATTTCTGCACGAAATTTATGTCCGTCGAAGATTAAGCCGCGTCGTTCGTTAATCGTATCGAGAAGATACGACAGCAAGCGATGAAACTCTGCAAACTCACCTTGTATGGATTCCGGCGAGGCTGGCTCCTTATCGATTCGGCCAAGCGCGTCGCTACCTGAAACAAAAAGCGCAATCGGGTCCTCGTTAGTGACGCCATACTATAAGCCGATCGGGAAAATCATTCGTTTCCCATAAGAGATACCGAACATGCGCGATACCAAGTATACTTCTTGCGTCGATCAAGAGAATCGGCAAACATTATAGTTTTATCTTAATTACATTAAGGTTATTTATATTCTATACTCCTTTGCGAATAACGGCGCACATCAGTGAAGAAATAACAATGACGAAGACGTTGATTTATACCTTTGCAAGCTGTCTTCATTTATTTTATTACAATTATAACGTATAAGACATATAAAAGAATATAGCGAGAAATATGTAAATAAGACGATAATTGGATAATATATTTTAGCAAAATAATATATTTTTCTTCGTTTATGTTATCATTTTAATAAAATTAATAAGATTAAATTTCAAATCGAGTCAGTGCCTAAATTACGTAAACGTGAAATTTATTCTTGCTAACTGCTAAACATTGTCTCTCAATGTTCCTTAATGTCCGACGATATGTCACGCACAGTTCTACTCGACGGAAACCCACATCTGTCCTGATTAAAACCGGAGGCTCAAGAGCTGGACGGTTGAGATAGCATCGGAGTACGTCGCATTTATCAATCAGGCTGCGGGCCGAATTATGCTAAAACGCGAACGATCATCGTGACGCATGGCGGGGAATCGTGCTCCCGTACGCCAATCGCAATTTCCCGAAAATAGGGCGGCGCGCCGTTATCCCGCCGCAAATGCGATCGATCGATATTCAAATAATCTATTTGACGGACCCTTCTCCGTCGAGAGGACGAGAAAGGGAAGATGGTGGTAATTCAGCGCGAGGATGACCACCGTACGTCACACGGCGAAAGGGACGAGTTCGTGGGGGTCCGGCAGACCCCAGGGGCGACCACCTACTACCCCCTGGGGGGTCGCAACTCACCCCTGAAACGACTGTATTCAGATAATCCCACCTTTCCTTTTCTCCGTCTTATTTGCCCGGAACGACGACATTTCAATACATGCTCTCGCCGAATAACCCGCCACAAATATGGGCGGATATACGCGTCCACTACGTGGGAAATACTAGCGGGAGTAACGACTACACGGATAGCACGTAGATATTACGTAAAAGTAAAAGGGATGGGAAGGATTTCGCAGTCTGGACTTTCGCATTTGGATCGTCGTACATATTGGAAGCTCAGTGACACGTATAATAAATCTAGTATTAATCGATATAATATGTATTTAGTTTTTCCTTCATCCTTCATCCTTCACGATGCACGCATAATGACAATTAGAAAGTATTTCCTTCGCTTCGTTTTAAATTATGTTTATACATATATTCCATCTATGCTCGATCGGCGAGCTATGTATTATTTAAGATATCCAGGTCGATACAAAGCTAAACAATGCGAATTCCTTAAAGAGACCGTTTTCATTATCGAGCGAAGGACTAGTCTTAGAAACTAGAACGCGTTTACATTAAATATAAAGAGTGGCCTTATAAGCCGGAGCTCGAGCGTCTTCTTCTCTCGTGTACACGTGTAATAATGCTCGAGGCAATATTTCTTATAGTTTTGTAGAAAAAAAAAAGAATCGTGAGGGAAGATGCGATGCATAATTCATCAGTAGCGGGATCGATCGACTGTTTGACCGATATTGAAGAACATCAAAAACAAGATTCTCTTTCTTGAGCGCATTTAATCCTATAGTCCTGTATCAATCGTAATTGCACACATTAATTTCCATCGTAAACTTGGTTAGCGTATAAAAATGTAGAAAGATGTAAATTTTTCAAACAGATTTTAATATTTATCAAGTTTTTTCCGCGTTCGGGGTAACTCTTTTATACAGCAGCCTTGCAAAATTCTCGTTTAATGGCAGACATCAGCGAGCGCGACGATTTATCAAAATGAAATACCGGCTGTCGAAAGGACACCCACCCATTCCTTTAAATAGGAATGAACGCGGATAAATACGATGCACCTTCGTCGTTCGACGACTCTCTGGAGGGCCGTAAAGAAGTTACGGTTTTGCACATGCACTTTTTTGCCCCGTTGCACATATCACGCGAACGACTATGACCCTACTGCCGCTTTCTCTTTTCTTCCCTGTCTCGCCTACGAAGCCGTGAGATGAAAATTACGCGCAGTGCTATGTTTATGTATTAATCAGCGACAATTTTCCACTATGATTGTCAGTCTCAAGCAAAACCTTTAAGGAATATTGAGAATCCAATGATAGCTGATAAATTCTTGCTTCAATGTAACACTCTTTCTCACACTACTTTTTCGGCACCAGAAATATGCAAAAATATGTATAACGAAGAGCGCGAAGCACTATTCTAGTTAATACTAATACCTAGTTCTAGTTAATACTATAAATACCTAACACTAATATGTCACCTTTCGCATAATTATTAAGTTTTTAGTCACTTTGTATTGCATCCGTACATGTCCTCAGAAAATTCACTCCAGGATGCGAATAAAATACGTCTGTCTCTCTTCCTATCAGATTCTTCAGAGCAGTCAATTCCGTTCCACGCAACCAGCATCGCCAGCCGAGATTTTCGCGGCTGGACATCACTTCTGAAGTACGTTACGACGTAGTCGGCCCTCACTTTTTCACTTATTAATTCGACACGTCCGCGCCAGCCGGAATCGCGTGTTTGCGGCTACCGTCCCGACTATACTCCCTGCACCTCCCGGTATTCATAAAGGGCAGCCTTATATATATATCTTGCCGTATATGAAGCACGTCGCTTTTCGTGAGCGCACGCCCATCAGCGCAGCCCCATTTATCGCTACGTATATATACACGTGACACCTGTGCCGATAACTTGAATACCGCGGACAGGTGCCCACTCGTCAGGCGCTCGACGTACGACCGCGAAGACGGAAGCGTGTCGAGACCGCTATTATCTCGCGATTACGATCTCGTTTCGCCAAAGGCCGGTTATCGATTGGATGGATCGACCTCTTCCTTTTCCCTTAGCGCGATCAGTTAGACCGCGCGTGGATGTTAATGTATAATGAGCGATGATTCATGAAGTACAAGGATAAGCGCCAAGTTCCCCTATTAATAAAAATCTAAGCATACCTATTAAATCGAGATTTGGAAAAGTTGTATAATATGTACCTCGATTGAAAATAATTTCGAAACCTTCAGATCATTTCGATTCGACTTCATAGAAGTTGAATAATCCGTCGATATAAAATGCCGAAGCTCTTCGGTTAATCGATTAATTCATAAAACTCGATCAATCCTGCGCGTTCTCCTAGGTATATTCTCGTGCCGTAGACGGAAACGAGATTTTAATATTTAAGCTCGATAGCACGATACAATAAGTATAATAAGCATAGAAGCGACCGCCAGCAGGCAGTTGCAAGAGACGGTTGCAATATTAATGCTGACATTTCGGTGCTTTGCGGTAGTTTAACCGCACTCCGGCCCCTCGCTTTAATGGATGCGGCTTTCCGACAGGGACGCTGTGCACGACTACGCCAATCTCATCACGTATGGCCATAATATTGTAACCGATATATCTATCTTTAAAATAAAATCAACCAGAATATAAGTCTGTTTCAATTAAGCAACTGTGTATGTTTGATTAATAAATTATTTACTTATATTTCACAGTTCTTATTGTTAGTATGACTTTATCAAAGTATTTAGTACGTCAGCGTTCCATGCAATGCTTATCTAAAGTAATCGAAATTTTTTCGAACATTTCACAACCAAATATGGCATTTGTACATAATCTGTACGTAATATCCAAATATAAAGTAAGACTCGTATTAACTTATGAGTTATTCCTTATGTATCACACAGTAAACATACATATCAAAATAGTAATGCATCTCAATCGAAATTTTCTATAATGATTCATAATATAATGTAGTTCGTATATATGATCTGTAACACTAGCAGATCCTGATGTCGATAATGAGGGGTGTTTCGGCAAAATTAATTGGTTTGATATGTTTCTTTGTATCATGCTTAGCTTTTATTTCAGGATCAATGACAAGGACGATACTTCTATAATCCCATTTTTACTTAAAAAGTTTTTTTTGTATTTTTTCTTAAATTTTTTAAGACAAATCCAGCAAAACTGATTTTTTTATTTGGAAGAGAGGTGTTTTAACACCAAAACATCCCTTTAGGATCCACCAGTGATCTATAATGTCCATATGAAACAAGAACAATTTATATCACCGTGAAATGAAAGTCATGTGTGTCTGTCTCGCAGCGTGTCGTGCATTCGAGTACGTAATATCATTAAAAATTCATTGAACGAAATGTATCTCTAAGTTCTACGTTTAATCGGTTCGAATTCATCCGGTAAATTCGATCGTGTAATACTTTTCAGTGTATTCTCGTGGCGCGTTGTTACATCGTGAAAAGCGCAGAAAAAGCGGCGAAGGATCGCAAGCAATTACCTTCGTGGCGAACAGAGTGCGACGTTGTTAGTGACTCGATTTTTTTTTTCGCGACGCCCTTACGACGATCCGCCTGTGTTGCGATACTTGATTTTTCCATTTTTTTTCCTCCTCGGTTCGCTGGCTCCTGGCCCGCCTTCACTCCGCCACGCGAACCATCATGAATACGAGATGCGGCACCTGGATACATCTAGTTTTCGCGTGGCGGCGATCCAGCCCTCTCATCAATTTTTGAGAACCCGCGCTCGGACGATATGTATGCACCGCCACCCCGACGCCGATAACCGATATGGAAACCACGTTCCGGTCGACCGACCAAACACCACGATGCCCGTATACCCGGCCACCACGGAAAATCATACGCCGTCCTGCAGCGCGCGTGAATAGTGATGAGAAATCGCGGCGAAACACTCGCACCAGAAGCTGATTGGGCGACCATATGGTCCCGGGGCGCTTCTGATCTCAGAATTTTCAGTTCAACATCATTATTGGAGAAGAAGGTCGGACAACGAGTATTCTTAACACGGAAGTACGCATTGGTACGGAAATGCACTCTGATTGG